CCTGCCACCTAGATGAAAGGCTGGCTACGCCCAATTAAAGTATTTAAACCGTAGGTATATCATACGGTCAGTTTGTTCTTTTAGAGCGCATACATGGTTTCATAATAATGATTCCAGTATATTCATTTATGTATATTGTAACTATCAATATCTTATAAAGAGAAGTGAAATTTTTTTTATCTAAAACTAGTAAAGTTAGAAAGACGAAATTCGAGGATGTTGTAGTTAACATATTAGTCCTTAACATAAATTTTTTTCAAAAATAAATTTTGGAAATTTCCAAGGATATTCAAGGATAAATTTTTAAAAAGACATTTTCAATACTTATTCGTTGTGGTGCATCCAAAAATAATTTTTTTTCTATTCTACAGAATTTTTATTTTTAATAGATACCCATATTGTTATTCTACAATGCACCGCATCTTTTGAATAATTTGTTTATTCAATCATTTTCTAAAAATTTCAAAGTCCTTTTAAAAAAATCCTGACGTCAGAGAGGAAAACTAAAAACGCAGTTTTACTATATTTGGCCCCCAGTTTTGTGAATATATTGATTTTTTCGTGTGCGAAATTGACTGTCGCACGGTGTAATTTCATTGTATAGTTTAATGTTTCTTAAATCTGCACCAAAAAAAAAGTTTCATTCGGACACTTAGGCTGCGTTTCACCAAATTCATTTAGGTGAAAATTACTTTAATTTTCGGTTTCATCAATCAGTTTTAGTTTGTTTTCAATTTTGATTTAAGTGACCTATGCTCTTCACTTAAATAAAATTTTAATCAGAATAACCACACTCAGAGACGTTACACGTTTAATCAGCTGATCAATATACACACACCTCAATTTTGTGTATCTGCTGCTTACTTGTATACCAGCCCTGCTTTTATAACACAGCCTGTCAAAGCTTTAAAAGCTCTCAGTACAAATGAAAGCCTTCGCTGGCCAAGTCTGTTTTACAACCACTTTTTAATCACTTAAATAAAGAGCTTATTGAAACTGAAAATAATTTAAATGAGAATTAAACAAAAAATTAAATCAAAGTTAATTTCCACTTCAATGAGATTGGAAAAACGCAGCCTTACTTTCAAAGAAAAATAAAAATTTTCAATTGTTGATTAAAAAAAAACTATTTGGAATTTTTCAACAAAATTTAGGCAGTGTACTTTTCGACTACAAAACTCGGCGCTGCCTGAATATAATTGAAAAATGTTAACCTTGGTAAATTCGGGGCCCACTTGAAAGCTTTACTCAATATATATTGGTTATGTAAGCAGAAACATTTTTGCCAAAAATGGGTCTCGTTAGGTGGCGCCAGGGTCGAGATATTTTTAAAACCCGTATTTATGCTCTGATTTGCTTCACATTTGGCATGTTTAGTTGAAACGTAATAAGACATTAGTGGTATTCACCAAATTGAGCTAGTGGCCTGCCACTCTGGCAAAAGAGCAGATATTGACAACAGTCGTTGCTCGAGCTGATCTGCTCTTTTATCAGACTGCCGGGCCATTTGCACACTTTGGTGAATACCACTACAGATTTCAAAATATAGAACCGCTGGTGGCACTGGTGTCAAAATAAAAAGTACGTTCGACATAAAATGCATGTTTTCTTCCAGTTAAAAAACAATATTAACAAAACTTTTTCAATCAAAATTTTAGTAACGTAATGTTAGGTAATGCCACGTCAGATAATTGAACTGATTAAACATAAAGTAGAAAAGATTTCTACATTTGAAAACCTGGAAAATTAGCCTTAAACATTTCCAATATTACTATAAAAACTTTTCCACAAATAGTCTTGCCAAATTCGCAAAGTTTTGCAATTTTGTAACCCAAGTCAAAATCCCCTTCTGCTTTTTTTTAACGTCACGCCAGAGCGTATGTTTACTAATGTCTTTAAATCGCTACTACCAACAGTTGTAATTTTTTTACTGAATAAGGGGACATTTAATTGCTGTGCAAATTTTAATCCTTTTTACAGCTTTTACTTTTTACATTTTTTTTTTTACATTTTGTCATACGAGAGTAACGTAACGCTATATTTTACATAGTATACATACGCTCACACCATTATATCTGCGTACACCCTTGTTTTTTTTTTTAATATTCACAATAAGATTGCTCACACGTGCCTGGTCATCAGGGTATCAACGACAAAACCTGATAACCAGGCAAGCGTGAATAACCTCAATGTTTTCCATGCTGGTACATGCTACAAAGAAAACCATATAAATCAAAATTTTTCTTACTGTATATAAAATTAAAAAAATATTTTACGAATTTTCATCAAAATTTTAAACTTTTTACTTAGATAAAAAAAAACTTGCATGCACTTTTATAGCCTATTCAATTTTAGTATAAGAATGTACAAATTTTATGTGTGGAGAAAAATGCTTAGAGCCATCAGCAAAAAAAAAAACACTAAAAATCAACGGAATTTCTTAGCTACTGTAAATTTGTACACTGGTATACTAAAACTAAATGGCCTATAAAACTGCATAGCTACTTCAAATTTTTACATCGTACTAAAATTGAATAGGCCAATTCCTGTTCGTGAAAAGGTGAAGTGAAAACATTTTTCCTCACTTTACTTAAAATTAAGATTGTGTTTCGAGAATCGCTTAAAAAGCTATATTGAAATGATAAATTGAACAAACTAAATTTTCTACGAAATTGAAGTTTACATTTTCACTTAACAGGTTCATAAAAACAGAATTGGCCCCCAGAATTTTTTCTTTTTAATAAGAGTGAAAAGTTTAAACGGTGGCGAGGAGTTGATAAGGTAGGTGCATGCATCAACTCTTATGCAGAATATGGTCAGATGAACGCTTGCCCGACGACTGGAATTTAAGTGTGCTCTTCCCAATCCACAAGTAAGGCGATCCCGCCATTCGCGCCAACTACCGCGGAATCAGCCTTCTAAGCATAGGTTATAAGGTCTTATCGAGTGTATTGTACGATAGACTGAAGCCCACTGTCAACGAACTGATTGGACCTTATCAGTGTGGCTTTAGGCCTGGCAAATCCAGCATAGATCAGGTATTCACAATACGCCAAATCTTGGAAAAGACCAGCGAGAATAGGATCGACACACACCATCTATTTGTCGATTTCAAAGCCGCTTTCGACAACACGAAGACAACTTGTCTTTATGCCGCGATGTCTGAATTTGGTATCTCCTCGAAACTAATACGACTGTGTAAAATGACGTTGAGCAATACCACCAGCTCCGTCAGAATAGGGAAGGACCTCTCCGAGCCATTTGATACCAAACCAGGTTTCAGACAAGGTGACTTCCTCTCGTGTGATTTCTTTAATCTGATGTTGGAGAAGATAATAAGAGCCGAAGAACTGAACCGCCCAGGCACAATACTTTACAAGAGCGTATAATTGATGGCCTATGCCGACGACATCGATATTATCGGTAAAAACCTACCGGCTACGGGCTACGTCTGCTCTGCCTTCTCGGCTCTGCTGGTGAACGAGGACAAAACGAAATATATTCTGTCATCACACAAACAGTCAGAGCATACGCGTTTTGGCACCCACGTCACTGTTGACAGCTACAAGTTTGTAAAAGTAGACGCCTTCGTTTATTTGGGAACCAGCATTAATACTAATAATAATGTCAGCCTTGATATCCAACGGAGAATCACTCTTACCAACAAGTGCTACTTTGGACTGAGTAGGCAATTGAGAAGTAAAGTCATCTCTCGTCGTACAAAGATCACACTCTATAAGCCACTTATTATGCCTGTGCAGGTGTATGGCGCGGAGGCATGGACATGAAAACATCTGATGAAGCGGCTCTTGGAGTTTTCGAGAGAAATATTCTGCGAAAGATTTACGGACTTTTGCGCGGTGGCGATGGTGAATACCGCAGACGATTTAACGATGAGCTGTATGAGCTTTACAACGATATAGACATAGTGCAATGAATTAAAATTCAGCAGCTCCCCTGGCTTGGTCATATCGTTCGAATGGACAGAAACGCTCCTGCTCTGAAAGTATTCAACGCGAGCCGCGATGCTGGTAACAGAGGAAGAGGAAGGCCTCCTCTGCGTTGGAAAGACCAGGTGGAGAAGGACTTGGCTTCACTTGGCATTTCCAATTGGCGTCAGTTAGCACAAAAGAGAAATGACTGGCGTGTTGTTTTGGACTCGGCCAAAATCGCTTAGGCGGTTACAGCGCCAATAAAGAAGAAGAACAAGAAAAGTTTAAAGTGTTGATGAAAATTCGTTAAATTTTCTTTAATTTTGTATACAGTTTAAAACTTTGATTCATATATTCATATTTTGGTAAAAAAATATAAAAAAAAATTACAGAATGTACGCAGATACAATGGAGCGAGTTTATGTTTGTTTATTAGTCAGACCAAAATAAAAAATAAGACATGCATACCGTCGAATTCAGCTAAAGTATTATAATGCAGGAATCATTGCGTGTACTCCAATATTAGTTACAAAGTATTACATATCAGGTCGATTCATGTTTTTGTAGAGCTGGGTCCACTTCATACATAGTACATACCTCTCATTTACTGCAAGATTCGCAAAGCTCAAAAATGGAAATTTTCGGGAGTCGCATTTAATTTTTTCAATTTACTTATAAAGTACAGATAATGGAGATAATTTTTTTCTTCTCACGCAGAAACTACACACAATGAAACATGATATAACGAGTAATTCTCCACAATCTTCCAAATTTTCCATTTTCGAGTTGGTACAGTCTTTTAGCGAATAAGTGACAAGCTATGGATACATAGCTCATAATCTTTAGTTATAGTAGTATACGTAACATTTCCCTCAGACAAAAAATATATTGTATTTTCTCCTTTTTTCATGTACCTATGCACAACGATCTCTTGCACATGTATACATCCATACATATGTATAAATGAATCAATGCGTAAACTCGCATTCCTCTTTCCCCTCACGCGCAACATGAATTACATACAATAAAAAACTTACATAACCACATTCGCATAAACCGATTATGAAGATCCCCTGTATGTATCCAAACATCTAGTTTACCAAGTGTTTCCAGTGAACCGATACCCAACATCGATCAGCTTTACTCTCCGAAATTTCCGCTGGAAATAGTAAGGGAATTCGTAATGGAGGCATTAAAGGAAGCGGTTGAAGTAAATCAGGTGCACAATCGAGATCCTATTGGGTGGACTAACGAAAACTTATTTCTGTAAGTACTTGGAATCCGAGAATTTTAAGCTAAAAGTATTAAAATATTTATCTGTTCTTTACAGTCCTCTTATTAAGCTTACAGATCGTTTACTATTAGTTGGTGTACTAACAGATGAAGATGTACAGAAATTACTGATAATGATTGATCCGGAAACATGGGATAATACGTTCGAAAAAGGTTTGAACTACGTAGTAATTAACAATATTATTAGTAGGATATTTATTCCATTAAAGAAGTGGTAAGGTCGGTGACCTGCAATAATGTCATTGGAATTTGTGTCAGTTGACATAAATTCACTTTTGTACCGAAATTGATGTCAATAATATTAGCACAAAGTCCAAAAGTAAGTTTATGTCAATTGACATTAAGTCATCTGGGAATTGATTCACACCCTAGGTTGGGTTAGGTTAAACTGGTAGCTCTTCAAAGAGTTCACTCGGAGGCTGCGAAAGTCCATTGTGATACCCATGGGGGTTACCCCAAGCCTATCCCTACATATCTTCGAACCATTTTGATTTTCTGGCGAATCCCAGCAGTCCTTCCAGAGGATCTTTCCCCAAGATATCCAGATACTCGAAGAAATGGTCCCCATGAAACTTAAGGCGTTTTCCTCGTAGTGCTGGACACTCGCAAAGGAAGTGCTGGACGGATTCTAACTCCTCCTCATCCCTGCAGCTTCTAGAGAAATCGTTATGCGGGGCTGCGAAGCAGTCCGAGTCCAGTCCAACCACGGAAGCTCAGCCATGCGCGAGGATATACCGCCGCGCACAGGTCGACAGAGCCTCGTTAGCGATAACAGGGGCCACGAAGCCTTGACGGGCAGATAGGTTATAGATTCACTTCACTCCCCCATTAGACACCCTAAAAGTGAAGTGATGTTAGAAAAATTAATTTTGTTATCTAGACTTAAGTTCACAAAATTAAAGTGTGTTGATGTCAATCCGATGGATCTGTATTTCGTGCATAGCCGCAGAAAACTAAACTCAGTAAATTCAACAGACGACTTCTCGGTGACAAAAAAAGATTTTTTAAAGCTTTAAAATGAATTTTGGAGGGGAGGAGTAGTACTTTTAAATAACGAGATGATCTTTCTGAAAAAAATTTTTTCATCGAGTTACAGGAGCTCAAATGTGCCCAAAAACCGTGATTTTTGCACGTATAGGTTAGAATATCTCAAAATTCTGATGTGATAGAGCAATTCTGTGGCCAGATTTGAATTCAGCGCACCGAAAACCTTCGGTAAACTATAGTCTCGTTTCTGGGTAAGGAGATCGGTCTTATTTTGTCGGCCTGTGTAATAAACACTTATTAATTTATTTATTGAAGAATTACATGGAAATATTTCAAGTAACAAATACTTAGTTTATAAATATCAAATTCCATTACATATAATGCCTTGAAAATTGCGCTTATTTGCAAAGCTCTCCTGCACGGTGCAAGGGATTTGGATTACGTCCGCTTCTCTTAACCACTTACATAAGTTGCCCAGCGGCGCACTGCTAAATGGGGTCCGTCCACAACATGCATCGCGTAATTCATACAAATAATTGATTAAAACACCGCTGACCCAATTTAGAAACGAATACGTATTGTAATGAACGCCCAAAAAGTATTTGGTCACATCATACTCTCCGATTACAAACAAAACAAGCATGTAAAGGACGCTAATTACAAAGCGGTCATGCTTATAGAAAATTAATCTGGGTTGTAATCGATTCCTTCCGATATACCGCCTTCGAAGTGTTCAAGGAGTGCATTTATGCGCTGCACAGTGCGGCCGAAATTCAAAAGTGCTTTGAAGAAATGATTCGAATTTTCGTACTATGGGGTTTTCCGGGTCACTAATTTATTTATTTATTTATTTATTGACAGTCTTTAAGACCTATAAAAAATCTTGTAAATTACTTTATTAACTGATTTAATTTAATTGATTGCTCGTCTACTAATGCCGAATTTCCACTAGGCATTGAAATGACAAAAAATGTATGCCATTTAAAAAAATGCCATATGGAAATGAACTTAATGACTATTTTTTTAATGTAATGACACAATTATTTTTTAATGCCCGACTTTGTCATTTGCCATTTTTGCCATTTAATACTATAATAACACTAATATATAATACCATAATAATACTATACATTAACATTTTTCATATTTTCTTTACTAATTTTTACTTATTTTCAAATACATACTTTATACATTTATACATATTAATTTATTGTACAATTAATTAATTATTATACGTATATTATAGCCTTGGGTTGGATAGCTGGCGAGGCCTGGTATCCAGTCTATCTTTAGGTTCAGCAGGCGGAAACGCCTAGTCAATAAAGGCGTTTACCATGGTCGGAAAGGCCGAGTTTTCGATCCATGTTCTTTTCATAATTATTTTGCCGTGAAATGGGTGGAAAGCTCTAGTTTCCGCTCCGTACTGCGAACGAGCTGTTTGGCATGGTCGGAAAGGCCGGGTTTCCCATCCATGCTCGTAACGTCTCTCATATGCTAGTATCTTGTTAGAATGGGGAGGCCCAATGGCAATCTTATATGTATTTTTTGCAACGCTCGTATAATAAACTTTTGAATTTTTGTAAGCTATTGCAGCTTCTCATATCTACGGGCAGTTCATTAAACATTTTGAAACCTTTATAGTACAAATCTCTCTTTTGATTTTCCGTCTGGCAAAATGGAAGTTTAAAGTTATCCCTGACTCTAGTTTCATAGGTGTGAGTGTCACTGCTGTACCTAAAGTTATCACTCAAGTATGTCGGAAGGGTCCCATTCTTTAAATTATAAATAAAGTTCATTGTATGGGAAAAGATTAGTTGTTTCACATTTAACCAGTTTAAATTGTTCAGCATTGATGAAATGCTGGTATCGTATCGGGCGTTAAGTATGTGCTTCATAGCTCTATTTTGCAGCCTCTCTATATACGTCTTAGGTGTTATAAACAGGATAGTGGGGCAGTATATAAAATGTGGCTCAATAATTGATCTGTAAACCATAATTTTATATCTTCTACTTAGATGTTTACATGTCCTTTTCATAAATCCAATTTTCTTCGACGCTTTGTTGACGGTATAATCAATGTTATCATGGAATTTTAATTTATTATCAATTAAATCACCAAGATATTTAATTGTAGTAACCTCTGTAATTTTTTCATCCCTAACATGTAAATCGTGTCGCCCTAATCTAGTTTTATTTGCTGAAGAAATAATCATATAATTGGTCTTTTTTACGTTTAACATTAGCTGTCAGAATTTCAAAATTAAAAATGGCAAAAATTACAAAAAATATTTCAAAAAATCAACCGTAAGTCCCAGATACGTTAAACTTGTTTTTTCTTATACTTAAATTAAATGGGCTACAAACAGCATACTCAAAATCTTTCTTTGAAATCTAATTAAAAGCTCGACATTTTTACATACAATTGAGCTAAGATAAGTGTGTTAAAAAAAAGGCGTGAGTACCTAGGTACTCATGAAATTTGATGTGTAAACATATGCGTACGGCAAAGCATAAAAGTACGTTTAAATATAAATATAATCTCAATCAAAGTTCGTTAGGTGTCAAATTAGTTCTGCTTGTTATTCTCACCACTCGACGAAAAGTTAAGCTTCTTCTCTGTGCCACCGTGCTCACTTTTTTCTGCTACACATATTATGCTATTTAAAAATATTTTAACTTAATATTTTATTAAAAACACCTTTACAAACCTTTTTTCCTTGCTAGCGTCAATTTTTGTTTACTTTTACATTTCACATTCCTCCTCTTCTTTGCAAGTATAACCGATAAACTAGGTTGGACACCAAAAAGTTATCGGTTTAATCTGATATTATTTTATAATTATAATTTTGTATGGCTAATCTCTTTTTATAATTACAGAATGGGGTGTTAAGCTCGAAAATAGGAAAATCTTTTCAAATATAAACCTATTATTAGGCGATTCAGTTACATACATACACATGTAGGTTGGGTTGGAAATTGAACATTAATTTCACTTAATTTTATTCAGTTTGCTGATTTATTTATTTTTTATTCAGTTTCATTTTTAATTCTTTTAATACATGAAATTATCGGTATGATTGATAAAATATTCGCATATACCTACTTGTGACTCAAGGGTGTTAAAATATCTTGGATACACCGCATCAATTACTCTTTTTGAGCTTTTAGTTTGAGCATTTCTATTTGTACACATTCACAAATTTAGTTTTTCTTTTAGGAATATAATCTGTGGTTCTGCTGCATCTGTCGTTAGGTTTACGTTAAAGTCATGAATACATCTGAAATACCATCTTTTGTTTGCAAAATGGAAAGCTAAATTCATTTGTTAGGCATTTCTTCTTACTCTCGTCTTCTCTTTGTGCAATCTTGTATTAGCCATGATCCAGTACTCAATGGACTTCCATATTTTTACACGAACTTGCAGGAAGATTCAGAAAAAAGAATTGTGAAGAGAATGAAGTTACAAGATTTTAACCGATGTTTTTTTTTGTTCCCGTACTTTTTGCTGTTTCTAACTTTTTACTCCCACTTCAGAGAGTGATTTTGCTGTTTGACAATTTACAGGATTTTACACGAAAAACGATCAGAGCTATTATATCATCCATACATATGTCTATATACATATATTCATGTATGTTCATCAGCTATCAACGGTCCAAGTTAAAATTCCTTCAGTATTTTTTAGAATTTTCGCCTTTATTATACTTGACAGTCCTCTTTTTTGACCAATTGTCCTGGCAATTAATTTATTTTATAGGGGACGCCAAATGTTTATTTTAATGCCCCGTACTTGTCCCGTATTCGGGTTCGGTATTTCGACGCCTTCAAATCTCATTAAAATAGCATGTCTATGAACCAGTTTTAAATGATGTTGGAACATGATCGTAACTTTCTCCATAAAGAGTTATTATTTTTTAATCTGAATGCCTGTGCGTCGAATCGAGGAACATATACAGTAATCAAAATAAAAATTAGGATTCTAAATTTTAGCAAGGTTCGGCTATTTTCCTTTGTTTATTTAATATTTATTATTATTTTTAAGTAAGGCCCTTTTCCTAACAAAAACCATATAAATCAAAATTTCCGACTTTGTGCAAAAACTATGACAATTGATTCCGCAAATTTTCACCAAATTTTCAAATTGTTTAATCAGAACCTTTAGAAAA